AAGAAAGAAAGAAAGAAAGAAAGAAAGAAAGAAAGAAAGAAAGAAAGAAAGAAAGAAAGAAAGAAAGAAAGAGAGAAAGAGAGAAAGAAAGAAGGAAAGAAAGAAAAAGAAAAAGAAAGGAAGGAAGAAAGAGAGAGAGAAAGAAAGAAAGAGAAAAAGAAAGAAAGAAGGAAAGAAAGAAAGAGAAAGAAAGAGAGAGAGAGAGAGAGAGAGAGAAAGAAAGAAAGAAAATAGAAGACAGAGGGAGGGTAGTTAAGATTTGGCCATATACTTTTCCAAAGAACGAAAGTCTTTCCCCAAATCCCGGCAGGCGGCTGCCCCCTGTCCTGGCCCAATCGAGGCTACCACCCTTGTGTGCCCTCATCCTTGTCTGACCTGCCTTTGCAAAGGAACTGGCAGCTCTCGGCCACATTTTAAAGAGCTTTTTTGCAGGAGTTTTTCTTTTTAAAATATCTCTGCAGTTGGCTTGCAGTGTGCTGAGTGGGTGTTTTTTGGCTCCTGATTAAGTACATGGAAGCTGGGATTTTTAAAAGAAAAAAAAATATAAGTAGCTAAGATTTCTGATCTCTTGGCAGGAGAACATATTCCCGCAAGAGAAAGAAATATCGTGGCTGGGGGTGGGAGGAGAATCATGATAAGGGAATCGTTTTTATAAAAGCCAGTAAGAACATAATGTCAAGGAAGTTAGATTTCTGAGTTTAATCTGTTCTTTTCAGTAGTTTCTAGGTTACCTTAATTTATTTTTTCTAAATATAGAAGCATATTAATTAGAAAGCTGCTCACTTCAAGAGGCTTCAGCTGACTGCAAAGGAGATAAACTCATTTTACTTTCCCAATCCGCCAATTAATTATGAAAAGGCCTAAAGGAATAATGGTCATTTTCCCCAACCGCTGACCTCGGAAAGAGCTTCTCCACCCTCCGTTTTCAACACAAAGGAGACAGTCCTAATGGTCACTGGGTATCCGGGATTGCAGGGGGGATTTTCTCCCTCTTATTAGGAAGGGCTAAATGTTTATTTATTTTATCGATTTACTTGATTTATACGGCCACCTATTCACCCATGGCTACTCAAGGCGGCTTACACAATGTAAAAATCATATTTAAAACAAAAACCAAAAACAATAAGAACTAACAAAAAGAATCAAATAAACTAGTAAAGTACAATAGAACAAAATTTGGGAAAACATAAAACAAAACAAAAACCAACTCCCACCTTCCTACCCCGACAACAGCGGATCCCACTAGCACCACAGTTCAAAGGCGTCAATTGTTCTCCAATCAGCCATTCTTAGGGTCCATCTCTCACACCCATACATCATTATAGGGAAGACGATTACTCTAACTAACCTGCTTTTTGTATTTATACCAATATCTCTGCTGTTCCAGATCTTATTCGTGTTACCCTCTGCAGTGTGGCTGAAGTGTACCGGGTGTTTGTGAGAGGAGTGGTTTCAAGTGCTTAGAAGCAATACCCTCACCCAAGGCTCAGAGGCCATTCAGCATACAGGCCATAGTTTTAATCCAGGCAGCTTGAGTTAAAAATAGCAAGTGGCAGAGTGGTGGTCAAGTCTCCTGAGCGCTCCTTCCTGGCACCGGTGATGATTTATTTATTTTTTATTTTATTTTATTTTGTCAAGCGATTATAAGATAACAGGTATAAGTATAAACATAGTTATGAATACATGAAATGGATACATATAAGAAAAATAAATGAAACAATAGGACAGGGACAGTAGGCACGTTGGTGCGCTTATGCCCGCCCCCTACAGACCTCTTAGGAAAAGGGGTGAGGTCAATAGTAGATAGTCAAGGTTAAAGGTTTTGGGTTTTGGGGAAGAAACCACAGTCAGGTAGAGGATTCCAGACATTGACCACTCTGTGGCTGAAGTCATATTTCCTGCAATCAAATTTGGTGCGGTTTACCTTGAGTTTGCATCTATTGTATGCTCTTCTATTGTCCAGAGATACCATAAGATTTTAGTTTTAGGAATAGTTTGTCATGTATCACTGAATCAAAGGCTTTATAGAAGTCTATGTAGATTGCGTCTATTGCTTTGCCCTGATCGAGTTGTGTAGTCCGTATGTTTTTGCAGTGTAAGAGTTGCAGATTACAGGATAGTTTTTTTCTGAAACCAAATTGTTTATTAGAGAGTAGGTTGTTTGTCTCTAAGTGGAGGATAATGGATTGGTTAATAATTGATTCCATGACTTTACAAATGATGCAGCATAAAGAGATTGGTCTGTAATTTTCAACTAGGCTGGGGTCTCCCTTTTTGAAGATGGGGATGACTGTGGCCAGTGACCATAGATTTGGCAAGGAGCTGATCCTGAAGGATTTTTCAAAGATTATGCTTAGAGGTTCAGCTATGGCAGTGGATAGCTTTTTAAAGAAGCAGTCACATATTCCGTCCAGTCCAATAGATAGAGACGGTTTTAGATTGCGTAGCCAGCCCCATGGCCGCTCCTAACAGACATGGTGATGCATGGTGGGATGCCCATTGAGAGTCTGTTGGTAGGGGCATCAACGCACTCTGGAGAGTTGCAATATAGGTGCCACGAAGCAGCTGCTTTGGTCAACAGACAGAGGGGATAGCAGGTGAGAATTCAGTCCATCTCGGATCCAGGCTATGGGGCATTTTTCACTGCATGTCATAGCGTTGGAATTGGGTCATAAGTACCTTTTGGAGATTCATTGCAACTTCAAACAGTTGCTAAGCTGCCGGGGATAAGTTATGTTATATTCATGTTATGTTATCGTTCTCTGACTATTCTGGGACATGGGTAGCTGCTTAAAGTGACCTGAGGAATATCACACTGCACACTGTTGATTTATCAAGAGCTCTTTTATGGAAGGCCCTCTTTCACAACAGCATCTGTACAGTATTCACCCCTCTATTTTTGCCCAACATTCAGACAGTGACTAGCCTTGGATGGCTATTATGTAGTGTCCATCCCCACCTAATATCTTTCACCCCTCCACAAAAAAATATTTGCAGAAGGTAAAACAAAAGTAATTTCTCTCCCAGACTGAAAACTGAGATGAACCAAGTTCAGTTCCAATAATAATAATAATAATAATAATAGTAGTAGTAGTAGTAAAGAAGAAAGAAGAAAGAAGAAGAAGAAGAAGAAGAAGAAGAAGAAGAAGAAGAAGAAGAAGAAGAAGAAGAAGAAGAAGAAGAAGAAGAAGAA